AAGCCCCCCCCCCAAAAAAAAAAAAAAAAAAAAAATTGGCCAACCGATCATATTTTGTTTCCATTTGTTTCATGAAACATTGATGCGGAGAGTCTAAAGGGAACCATGACGGACTAAGAGCCATGACACCCAACATCTGTGCCCGGGACAAAGCGGGCCCCACTGCCCCGGGGCCAAACCACCAGCGCTTCTCACCCAGCCAACAAACTGCCACAAGCAGAGAAGGAAAATCCCGCTTTAACCCTTTATATCCACCCTTGGATTTATGACAAACACAAAGCACCCTGTTCTTTTATTTTAAATATTATTGTTATTTTTAAATAAAGCAAACGATTTGAATTAGTTAATGAAGGGAAAGAAAATCGTACTACTGGAAACAGCAGCAACAGTAATAACGCTTTTGCAAGATTTATTTAGATGATAGATAATGAATAATAAATAAATAAATAAATAAATAAATAAATAAAATAAGGCGGCCTGCTAGACTGGGCGCACAGGCGCTAAACAAAACTTCATTAGTGGAAATATTTTAGAGCAGCTCACACTTTGAATGAAAACGACAAGGGAAGAGGGGGGAAAAAACACACTCACGCGTGTTGGAGCGACAACACTCTCCGTCAAGTTGAGGAGGGCAGTGAAAGTAGAACATCCTTGATGGCGAACCTCGGAACCTGGAACACAGAGAAAAAGTTTCAGCCTCTTCCCACCCCCGACGTCCTCAGTGCTACCACTCTGATCTTGCGGCAGATTAAAACAAAACGGAGGAGACGGATTCAGAGCTGAAACCTGAACGCATCCTACCTGCAAGTGGGGATGCTGATGAGAGTGAGTTTGCGCTCTGGAGAGAGAGGCGGCTGATGCTGCGCTCCCACTGACTCTCTGCTTGGGAGTGTCCAGATCCCTCCTGCTCTCTCCTCTCTTTCTCCAACACACACACACACGCAAACACACACACGCACTCACGCACACAAACTCTCGCTCTCTCTATCTCTCTCTCTCTGGGAGTGTCCAGATGTCTCTATAACTGTATAACTGTCTACAGAGTGTTAAGGCTTTCAGCTAGTGTCGCAGAATCTCACGCCTAATTGGTCCTAATCGGATTATCACGGCTTTGTCTCTCTCACCCTGAACCCCTGTTGTGTGTGTGTGTGTGTGTGTGTGTGTGTGTGTGTGTGTGTGTGTGTGTTTATGTTGTGTGTGGAAAGACAGAAATAAAGAAAGAGGAAGCGGGGAGACATGCCCAAGGTGCCTAAAAAAATTCATCACAAGTGATTGTTATTTCAGAGTCAGGCATATTCCCTAACCATAAACATCCACACATACCCGCTGCACTTTTTATTTGGTTCTTTCATATATTAAAAAAAGGAGGATGACTGCTTTTGGGTTTTAGATTGACTGTCGGGCGGGTTAATTGCTCGTCAGGGTGTGTTAGGGGGTCCACTTTACAAGGGCTTGCGCATGTAGAGCACTCGCAAGGCCAAATTTTTGATTTTGTTCACAGCAAGGGGTCCCGCGATTTATTTCGCTTCCTCAGATAAATGATCTGCTGCGGGACCCTTTCAATTAGTTTTAAAGCGCTTCTGGGACGGCAGAGCGCAGACGCCATGCGTCTCTGAGGTGGAGACAAAATGAGGCTTCGAGAAGCAGCTGAAATTTAGAAGAGGAGTGCGGGATTGGACTAAACCACATAAAGTGCAGAAAATCCCTTCTAATGGCGCGTAATTGGTTCTGTAATATCATTACAGGCGGATAATGGCCAGTTACAGGGCCCCGCGCTATTAAGGGTTTCCCTGGCGTGCAGCGTTTATGTTATTAAAGGGGGAATATAATGATATTTTAGTTATTAAATGCGCGTAATTAATTTATGCACCACTGAAAATAAAGTTGTTATTATGACCTCGGTGAAGTGCGTGGAGAAAATTGAAATCAAATAAGAGTTGATAACTTTATCCCAACATTTGGTCTAGACTACTATGACAGAAGCGCAGGCCTGATTGTTTTCTGTCAGCGTCTTTCCTCTGAATCCTCCGGTGATTACTCAAGCGCCTGTAACGACATTACAGAGCTCCGTGTCAGCGGGCAGGGATTTTTTTTTCCTTTTTTACAATTAGACCCAGTTTTGCTGATTTCTTGACCAGAATTAGGACCTGCACCTGAAATTTCCCAGACAACTTAAGATATCATAATTTCTGCAGTTTTCTGATGCTGCACAACCAGAGTCTGATCTTCATAGGGAAAATATGGCTCACTGCTCAGGGCGCTATAGGCTAGGTAACACCTCAAGAAAAAAAAAAAAAAAAAAAAAAAAAGTTTTCAGTTTTTTTTTTTGTTGTTGTTTGTAATTTGCATTTCTGATAAATGACAGGATTTCTGGGTAGTAAGATAAAAATGTAATTAACTCAGGTTTAGGCCTCAAAGAATATGTGGAGATTTTCATCATCTATTGTAAAATCATTTTTGTCATGGCTAGGACTTATGCACCACTTGCTTTTTTCCCTATTTGATTTGATTTTTACAATGTGCAACATTTTATTAACTTTTTAAAAGGAGATATGCCTTCTGTCAGGTTGTAGCAAAAATCACTAACTGAAGATCCTGGACATCTGATCATAATCAAGTATGATTCAACAGTTTATGAATTGGTAAAAAATAAAGCCAGTAAAATAATTAATTACATTCATTAGTCAAATTTCACTAAAACCAAGCTAAACAATCAAACTACAATCCCACACAGTTCATAAAAACATTGCTTTGCCTTCATCAATAATGAAATCTGCTTACTTAACAGCCTTTTCTTTTTTGCTAAATGTGCAAACATTTGATAACTAGGACATTTAAAAATCATTTAAGGAGCAAATAACTCTGAAAGAAGAAATGTATCGGCCTATTTTACTGCAAACCCGAGCAAAAATCTGCTCCACATGCTAGTCAGTTGTTTAACAGAAATAAAATCAAAACACGTTGTCATCTCACAGTGGAGTATATTAATGTCTGACTTGAAAACCACATATTTCAGTACCTGACTACAACCACCTATTGATATGAGTTATGACTGTTACTGATTGGGCTACAGCGCAAAAAAAGTGGAGGCCTGAAGCATGAACATTTTGTCCTTGAGTTTCATGTTGATAGAATTTTTTATTTGTCTCTAGCCTGATTCCTTACATTTTTACTAAGAATTTTGAGAAGAAATGTCAAAAATCTAAGATTAAAGTGAGTTTCATCCTCTTCCAAATAGTCACCATAAAATGTTATATACCCTAAATCAATGTAACTACAAATGTTAAGAACACATTCAAGTAAAATCTGATTCCTCTTGCAGAAGTTTATTGCACAAAAAATATGCAAGAAAACACAGGAGATTCAATTTAAGTTAAATACAGTGAGTGATTTACTACCGTATTTTGCATTTTACCTACAAAAAGGCAGGTAGAATTTTTTTTTTCCCCCCACATGAAGCAACTTAAGGTCCGTTTTATTCAGACAGACGGATCAGTCAGTCATTAGAAAATTCACCAACATCCGCAGCACAGTGATATTTATAAAGTGGCACACTTTCCCCTAGATAGAAAAATATCACAAACCTAACAAAAGTGAGGTGGTTTAAGTGGAAACTATTCATCTGACAGCATATGAGGTAATATGGCTCGACAGTATGACACAAAAAAACGAATTCAAGGACAAGATTAAAATGAACAAAAATCATGGAGACGTGTGCAACAACGCTGCAACTTGAGTTTCAGACAGTAAGCTGGCTTTCCTAGAAAGAGTCCCTAAAGCACCATTTAAATGTTGAATTCCTGATTGATGTCAAAATATTATCATCTCTGTTGAGTGTGTATTTCACAAATAAGAACATTTACAAAAAGACAGAAGTTTCATCATAAGAGGCGAATAGCTGGAAGATTTGTATTTTTTCCCCCCCTGTAGTTGACAGTCATTCCTCTGTGCTTCAGCGGAAGTTCTCCTTCAGCCTCCAGATGCCCTCCTGACCGGAGGTCCGGTGAAAGTCACAGATGCTCCTGAGCAGCTCTCTGAAGACGGGCGCCTGTTTCTGGGTCAGTCTGGGTTTGAAATACTCCAGCACCTCCTGCGTGGTGGCCTCGCCGTCCACACTCGCCTGGAAGGCCACAAAGTTGCGCAGATCCACCAGCAGCTCGTCGTGCTCAGTGGGGGGAGCAGGAGGAGAGCTTGTTGCTGGAGCTCCGGGGCCGTTCTCCTCCTCTTCCTCCTCTTCCTCTGCTGCTGCTGCTCCCTGGGAGGAAGGCATAGCGATGTGGTTTCGAGCTTTCATCTTGGCCAGCAGAGATGCGGACGACAGCGGGGCTGAGTTTGAATCGTCATCTGCTCCTTCCCCACTAAAATGAGCTCCTGCAGTTGGCTTCTTTGAGACAGACTTCTTCACAACAGCAGCATCCTAAAAACAGGAAATATTTAAGTGAACGCACAAGCTTACAAATTTGAAATCGACAGAGTACAGAAACGCGTGACGCTGTTACCTTGCATTTAACAGAAGTGGCGACAGGCTGAGCAGACGACGTGACTAAGAGCGAATTCTTCTTTTGTCCAAAACGTTTCCTGAAAAAAAAAAAAAAGAAAAGCAAAATATAATGTTTGAAATGGAACAAGCAAAGCTCCTGGTAAACTCAGCAGGAATGAGGACACTTACTTAGTAGGCGGGGGAGGAGGTCTGTTATAAGGCAGTCTGCACTGCTGCCGAGAAATCTTAAGGGCTTTGAGTGCATCTTTAGCCACCCTGTTGGCTTCTGCTTCCACTAGAACATAGTCCGGGTTGGATGACTCCATGATGCTGTCATGTTGCATCACACTGTGGATACCTGAGGAAGACCAAGTAGGATGAATAACCCGACCAAACGTGAGACACCCGTCAAATACTACAGAAGCGCATTGAGCCTACCGGATTTCCTGAAGAGCTTTGCCAAGACGTAATCGTCGGATTTCTTCTGGTCTTCTGTCGAAGTCTCTTCGTTTTCTTGTTTATTGAAAGTGCGTTTCTTCACCAGATGAGAGATGCGGTGACCTTCGAACCGAGCGTCCCGGGAGTGGTTCCGTCTTTTATGCCTGCGTTTGTCCGTACCCGTGGAGTCGCAGTGCTTTCTCTTCTCCCTGTGCTTTCCTCTGTCTTTGTCTCTGTGCTGGTGGCAGCTGGTCGAGGTCGGGCTTTTGTTTGCTCCCTCAACTAAACCCGAATCGTTACCATCTCTTACAAGAAGCATATTTGGAGTATTGCTCATCTCTATATCTTTTGCATTCTGGTTTGCGCTCCGACTGTCCGTTGGCGTGTTTGATTTACCCTGAGAGTTTCCACTGGATGGAGATATGTTGGAGTGTCCTAATGATAACGAGTTTCTGTTCTCTGCACCGGATTCTCTCTGTTTTCCTGGAGACCGTCTATAATCATGGCTGACGCCGTTGATGGAGGGCGAGGACTTTAACCTGTCAGGTTTCTTGGGTACTTTGACGTCGGATCCAGTGCCTGTTTAAAGACAAAAACTTAACTTGTAAGTTTGTTCTTTCATCTTGTTTGGAAGATTGTTATAGATGCATCTCCATTAAACAGAATATCCACAAACACTTCATTTATTTTACTAATTCAACTCAAAAAGTGAAATCGATGCATTGTAATGTAACGTATCTGAAGTGTTTTTTTTTGGTAACTTTTGATGAATATGGCTTTCAAAATGTACTTTCACTTATTATCATATTAGAACAATTTTCACATTTTAGTACAGAAATATTAAATGTTGATGCCGCATGGGTCATGTCATTCGCTGTACTTGGCCCACTGTGTATTTTCAAGTCCAAAAGTCTGAGCCACCACCTATTAGGACATTTTGGACAACTTCATTCTTCCCTCAGTCGACAAGTTT